ACAGAGCCTGCCGGGCTCACACCCCATCAGAAATCAGGGTAGCTGTTTACAAATGAAAAAATATATATGTTACTTTTCTCTTAATTTATAAGAACTACTCACCCAGTGGCTACTAAGTTGGGACATAAATACTGAGTTGGGCCTAACCAGTTATGAGCAGAACCATTGGGCATTTCTTCTGCCCAAGAACATCCTGAGAGTGTGAGACACTCAGGGCGCTGCGGACTGAAGCTGAGAACCTTGGAAGGAACCAGTTTGGCCAGCACTTAGCACAGGCCCCTGTGTGGATGGGGTTTCAGAGCCATTGCCCGGCCCAACCTGCCCACCGGTCCTGCCCCACCTGCCCACCAGCCTTGCCCAGCCCTCTGCACGCTCCTTGGGAGGAGCCCCCCCTCCATTGGTCACCCCCGGCCTTGCTTTTATTCAGTGACTGCCCACGGGCACCTGGCACACCTCTGGTGGGGAGGGACATGCAGAGGCCGCGTCTCTGATGCCAAGGAGGGTGGTTGGTGCTGTGGCTACGTGAACAGAACACGGTGCTTGGCAGAGACCTGAGTGCGCGAGTCGGAGAGACAGTGTGTGCATGTGCAGAGCCTGACAGATATAGGGAGAACAGGACAGCCGTCAGGCGTGGGGACAGAAGTCTCAGGGTGCTTGGTGTGACTACAGCCAGAGGCTGCAGCTGAGGGGGGTGGCAGATGGGTGCCTGGGTGGTTTGATGAGAAATCCTCGACCTTATCTGCACCAGGGGTAGGGGAGGCTGCTGCAGCCCTGCAGTCCCAGCGGGCGGGGAGGTGGCGGGAGGGGCCGGATCCAGGATTTTGCCAAAGGTGAGAGCCTGAGCGGGTTGCTCAAGGACTGCCAGAAGGGTAATGGAAAGGGAGTCACAGATGACACCTACGTTTGGGCCTGAGCATATGAATGAATGAATGAATGTGCCATTTCCAAGATGGGGACAAACAGAGAGGAAGGTGTTGTGGGGGGGTTGGATATGGAGCGTCTGGCCATGGTCCTATCGGCCATCTGAGTTCCAAGAGGAGAGCTGAGCAGTGCTCGGAGTGCTGGTACCTCCTCCTCCCTGAGGGATGCCTGTGGGCTGCCAGGGCCCAGATGGGCAGGTGAGGAGCCCGGGGGTGCACAGACCTTGCATCCAGATGGTGTGGGTAGACTTAGCTGCCAACACGATATGACTTGAGGGATTTTAGGAGCCCCTTGGATAGGTTGAATGGTGGCCCCCATTGTGGTCCTGCAGGAGCAGCAAGCGGAAGCAGCCTCGGCCTACAGCCAGTGGGAAGGGCTGTGGAGCCAGACCTCACCAGGAGAGGGGATAGCCCACCACGGCCCTGCCATCGACACTGGGATTCAGTGCCTGTCCCTGGGCCTGAGGCCTGGAGGTGGGCAGCAAAGCTAGCCGCTCCATTCCTGCCCCACCGGCCCCTCAGCCCTTTCTGAACGTACTCACTGGCTTTGGGAAAAGCAGCATTGCAAAAAGAGTGCTTTGGACCAAAAACCATACTTGTTGAACTCATCGAAACCCCATATGGCCTTCCAACCCTCGTGTGACGGGCACCACCGCCCTCCGCATCCCCCCAGGTGCGGCAGGCCTCCTGGCAGAGGCCCACACGCAGGTGCAGCAGAGCCCTCCCTGAGAGCTGTGGGGACCAGAGCCAACGCCACCCCGGGCACCACAACCTCCGAACCGCTCCAGGATGTAGGCTCTGTCATGAGCCCCTTTTACAGATGAGGGGACTGAGGTTAAATACTAAGGGGCAGAGCTGGACCTCTGGGAACAGTGCCAGAGCCACAGCCCAGGCTGCCCTCCCACCACCACCACCACCACCACCGCCTGCCCTGCTGTGGGGATGACTGGGAAGGAAGCTGCCTTCCCTCCACACCTCCCCCGACTGGGGAGCGCACATGTGGAGACACCGAACTATGAAGAAAGTGAGCCCGCTTGGCAGTAGGAATACTGGAGATGTTCTCCTCTGTGGCTGTGTAGAATTTCTCTCATTTTCTTACAATGAATGTGAACTTCTTTTAATTTCAGAAACATGGCTTTAATTCTAAGTGAATGTTAAAAAGAAGGAAGACTGGAGTTAGACGCTGTCCGCACGTATGAGAAGGGGCTGCAGGGGGCTGGGAGCCGGAGCTCTGAGCTCAGAATGTGCTGAGGTTGGGGGGGGGGGCTTCCTGGGGCATGGGCTGTGGGGGACCTGGGAGGCCTTGTCTTCAGGCCCCGCCAGCCTCAGTCAGGCCGCCCAGGAGGGGCCGCTGAGCTTGTCTGAGGCTGACTCTTGCTCCAAGGTAAGCATCAAAGGGGGAGTGACATGGTCTGAGACTCAATGACTGTGTCACCTGCAGGATCAAGTGCCACCTGGACAAGACAGGGGCTCCCTTCCCTGGTCCACAGCCTGTGGGAGGCCTTGTCTTCAGGCCCCGCCAGCCTCAGTCAGGCCGCCCAGGAGGGGCCGCTGAGCTTGTCTGAGGCTGACTCTTGCTCCAAGGTAAGCATCAAAGGGGGAGTGACATGGTCTGAGACTCAATGACTGTGTCACCTGCAGGATCAAGTGCCACCTGGACAAGACAGGGGCTCCCTTCCCTGGTCCACAGCCTGCCCCGCTAGGTCACACACCACAGAAGCCACCAATAACCGCACTACTGCCCTGCAGAACCCAGATTCCGGGGCAAGAAACTCACAGAACTGCGGCTGTGGGAGAGAGGAGCCCGGGCACACCATCTAGCTCGCCCCCGACACTGAACAGATGGGGAAACTGAGGACCAGAGGAACCCAAGGACTCTGGGAAACTGGTTAAAACTGTCAACGCTAAACAGACAACACGGTATGATGAGGCCATAAAAAAAGGAAATCCTATCGCCTGTTGTAACATGGATGAACTTCAAGAACACTGTGCTGAGTGAACTGAGCCAGGCTGAAAATGTCAAATTCTGTGTGATTCCACCTCCAGGTGCTGCCGAGAGTAGGCGGGTCATAGAGACAGGAAGTAGAGATGCTGCGGGGAGGGCACCAGAGGGGCAGTGGGAGCTCTGGTCAGATGGGGAGGGTCTCGGTTTGGAAAGATGACAAAGGTCTGGAGATGGAGGCTGGTGATGGTTGCACAGCAATAGGAATGTACTTAACGCTTTTGAACTGTGCACTTAGAACTGGTTAAGATGGTAAACTTCATCTTATATGTATTTTACCACAATTAAAACTAAAACTAAATAAAATAAATTCTTAAACCTGAACCAAAAGAGAGTACGCGTCAAGGTTATCAGAAAGAGCAGGAGCACCCAAGGCTGTGAAGGCCCCTTTATGGCTCCTCCATGGGTGAAGACCTTGAATGTCCTTCACCCCAACAGACGCCTCGCCTCCACGGGCTGACACCCTCCACCTAGCCTACCCGTGCAGCTTTGCCCACGGGTGAACAGTCACACGCAGAATGCTGAAAATGAGCCGTGGGAGTCACCTTCCCTTCGCCCTGCCCTTCCCTGGGTGAGAACACAGATGCGCAGATCAGAATGTAGACGGCAAGACCGAGGGAGGCCGTCTGCACAACAGACAAGACCAAAGGCAAACAAGGAGACAACTCGATGCAATGATATTTATCAAGGAAGCTGTGAAGTCTGTGATCTCTGCCAACAACCCAACTGCAGAGGGGAGCGTGGCTCAGCAGGGGAGCATGTGGTCAATACGCCTTCGCAGTGAGCTCACTGTGACACTATATGGCTGTGGGTTGCCTTAACAGAGGCAGAACCTGTAGGAAGAAAGGAGGATAAAGTCCTTCTCCCCTATGTCATGGTCAGACCATCAGACTAGAGAGTGGGAGGAGAGAGGGAAGAAGAGAGGGAGAGGGGTGAGAAGTAAGACAATTTAGCTGAGTGACCCCAGGCACCGTAGATATGAGGTAACTGCTTCCAACTCTAGGTGTAGAGGGTGGAATAGAAGCAAAGACGGAAGTGAGAGTAAGAGAGTTTCTTTTCTTTGCCATCAGCATGCCATGCATGGGAAGCGGGCTCTCTGGGAGTGATGGTTCTGGTCATGATACCCCGAAGGCCCCTTGGCAGATGTTGTAGAGAAACTGCACAGTATACGTTGTGGACGTTTTTAAATCTCTTTCAACAACAACAAAAATGAGTTTTACAATGCGATGTGAATTACAAAGCTGAATATTCTTCAACTTTAAGTCATGTTTTCAGAATTTCAGTGATTACAATCACATATAAAGTATCCAACAACCAGCATCTCTATTAACTCCTATAACCATTTCTTAACAAAGAAAAAAATTATTTCCACAAATAAGACCTTTATAAAACTAACTCTTGTTTTCTCCATAATTTCATGGTACCAATAGCATCAGCAGATGTGTCCACGTCTCCTGCCCAACTTCATCAGCCT